ACAAGATTTCTGCCTTTTCTCAACTGGTTAAGAAAGGAGACTTAAACTTGGTCGATCCTACGGCCTTTCACCAGAAAGGTAATATCAGAAGCTGCCCTTCTATTCCCACCTCGAGCCCAGTTCCCGTTGGAGAGGAAGGTCGGTCCTGGCCAAAAGACTTTTGTTAGAGAAAAAACCACTTTGAAGTTACCCTAAAAGTTGCCGGAGCTTAACAGGTCTTGTCCGTTGTTCTCTCCTTGGAACTGCTCTTTTCCTAATCCAAGATTCTTTGCTTGATCAGATTCTAGTTCTGGGACTTCAGCCATACTTGGGTTCTTCTCTATTTTACATGCCACCTCATCACCTTGGTTCTTCTCGTCTACAAGATCTTTGGTTTTTTTTCTTAGCCATTTTTTTGAAACTAAAATTGATGAATTTGTCTTCTTCAATTCCAACATCAGCTTTGAGCCAAGGTCTGTAAGCCACAGGTCCTCTTGATTCCTCCATCATATTCGAGCCCATGCTTTTAACTAGTTGCTCTACTTCTAGGGCTCTTGAATCTTTCTTCACAGTACAGTTCTTCTCAACATGACCAAGCTTTCCACACCTGATGATGGAAGATTTGGCCCGACCTCGTAATCACTCAACACGTGGCAAAGGCAACAGCTCGGCACAACAGCGCGCCCAAGGTGTGAGCACCGAAGGGAGGAACCAGCAGTCCGAACTCCCTACAAGGAGCCCGAACTCTCCCTTAGGCCCCAAGCCTCACACAAGGCAACAACCTGAACTGGCCCGCCTCATGGCAGTTCGGGACACTCCCCTATCCGAACTCAAGACTTCACCTCGCTCACCACTCTAGCACTCCGCCTCCAGGACGCTGAACTGAACAAACGTACCATACCTGACACCGAGGAGGTCCGTATCCAAGGGCGGCGCACCTAACTGACTTGGGATCTGACGCTTGACAGCCGCACTTCAATAGCCACCTGCCACCGCCACCTGCCACCGTCATCGCCAGTCGCTGAGACGGCTCCGACAAAGAGAGCAGTGGCGGTTCTGTCTAGCAGAGGGGATGACACCCGAACTGGCAGGAGCTCAGAGATAATCATACCCGATCTGACAGAAGCTTAGAAGTGAGTGCACGAGATGGTTATAAAAGGCTCCCTACCCCCCAAGAACAAGGTATGTGAACTTTGCGCCATCTGGTT